ATCTTTCTAAAGCATTTAGAGTCAAACTAGGGAATTCCTTGAGCAGTTTAGGACATTCTGTGCCAATATATGTCTGAATTTATGAAAACCGTGTTAAATACTTTGCACCAAAATAGCAGGCATGTTTTTGGAAAATCGGATAGATACATAATCCTATCTATAACAAAATTCTTGTTCATGTTTGGTTCTCCGCACGCCTATTTTCCACAAAATTGGCATGCAATCATGTGGGCATCCAATTACAGGTATCCAATTTGAACTTTTTGAAAACTGGATAGCTGTGATTGGATACCCAGGTGATTCGCATGTCAATTATGCGTGCTTTAATGGCTTCCTTTGCAATGTTTTGCACAGTTTTCAAAACTTATGAAAAGCACTACATACATTTTCGCTCAAAAGAAGTTCTCAAAAGACATTTTTAATTCCACAATTTGTTATAGATACGATTAATTAGTAATTAATTGAACCTCGAGTGGAGTACAATTCAGGGAGTAATCGCGCTTGTAATTTCATATTGGCCTTGTGCGCTTGTCCAAGTTCTTGAAATTACTAGCGCAATTACTCTCTAATTGTGCTCCACTTGGTCTAATTACTATTACTAATGTAGGGCTGAAACTGTACCTGCGTTCAGGAATTTGAAATAATTTGATTAGAAGGATAACATTAACAATCTACAGGAAGTTTCATGAAGGGGCAGGCACCAGGCAAATTGACCAGCTAGGAGGATTATTATTTTTGCCTGCCTGGTTTGACCCTCTAGGGAAAAGTTTTTGTTATAAAAAAGTTCAGTTCAAAAAGTTCCCCACCTTTGGAAACCAGTTGCCCTACAATTTAGCTTCCAACTGGGTCCAAAAATATTCACAGCTATTTACTCGTAAACACTATTTGTTGTGACGACCAACCTGTGATTCAGTAGCATGTAGAGCAGTTCTAAATTGAGCGTCGTAAAACCAAAACCAAACCAGTTACTTACCATTTAGACTACTCAGCCAATCTCAAACCGTAATTAAGCCAAGACCAAATTAATTACGTGCTCACTTGTGACACTAAACTGAAAACCGCTCTACGAACCGACTGTGGAAGCCGTGAGTGTTCATGTTTTTGCCATGTTCTTATATTCACCTTCTAACAACGCTTCCTAGCTCCACTTCCACTTCTGCAACTTACTTTTAAATCTTGCTTATAATAATACAAGAACAAGCCACAGAAGAACAAATAAGGACAGAAAAACGCCAAAATGTCTTACCTTGCAAGAAACCAGAAACCACATTCAACACCCGCCATATTTTCGAAGAGAGCATGCTTCTGACCACGTGATCTCTGACTGTGCTTTCAGTGTATGATGGGACCGCCTACACTCACCACAATCTGAATGCCTGGAACAAGCTTCAAGTTCAAACAAATATATTTTAACTTTCACACAGTCGTTTGGCTTCCCTGTCAAGATTATACTGGTGGGAAACATAACCAAGTATCCGACACATCCAAGTGCAATTGCCTAAAATGGGGCTGCATTGCTTTTTTGGTTTGATGCTTAGAGAAATATCAATTTTATTGATTCATTACTCTTGTAATAAAATTCATTTTTGGCATGCAGTGAATCAAGGTTTAAGCTAGGGTTCTGTCAGAGTAACCGTCCAGTTGCAAATGGCGCCGTAAGGCTTATTCAATTAGGGGGTCTTAGAGCATGCCCCCCTGCCCAAGAAATTTTGCAAAATTGAAGCATTTTCGGTGCGTTTTCCACGATTTTCTGTCCATACATATTGATGTATCGATTGAAATTGAATGATAATGCGTCGTCGTTCACGGATCAGTTTGTGTTAACACCTCCATGATTGTCTTTGATTACAACGTTTGTCCGGTCCAACATTGATCTTGGCGGCCATCTTAGGGGAAGTGTTACAGTTCGCCATGGGTGTGCACCTCTGTTCCCACAATCGATTTCTCTGAAGATCTTTGGCACCTACCCTCTTAGCAGAGTCTTATTTCAGAAACATTGTTTTCAGATCCTGGCATCCTATTGAGAAAAGGTCCAGTGAGGATGAAGAGCTTGAATTCAAGCCAATTAAGAATCGTAAATGTTAACTACTCCGGATGGCAAAAGTTTTATTGCTTACACACACACTGACAATGAATGAAATCTCGAGCTAAACCTACAAGTTTTTATGCTTATGTAAATAATAGAAAGTTCCAGAAGCGTCTCTGCATGTATTTGGGCTTGCGGGACAATGCATGCTAATTATCAAACACTCTACATTATGACTATGCCTGAAAGGTGACAGAATGAATCGAACCACACAAGCTGATTACGTAACATCTCCCCTCTAATCGAAAATAGCTTAAGGCCTTAACTGAAATGCTGAAACTAATTAAATTGTTTCTATAAGTCTTTTAGGTCTTGTAATCACACGTCTTGGTCGTTCACTGCTAGTGCTCTGGTCACGCTTTACACTCTCGGCAGGTATCGGAACAGTCTCTTGAGCTGGACGAATGAAGCGACGATTTCTCACTAACTGGGCTCCATTTGTAGTTTCGACACTGTACGATCTCGGTTGAGACGCTACTGGCGTTTTGGTAACGGTTGCTGGGGTCCATTTGTTACACTGGGGGTGAACTTGTACGTACACTCTCTGATTCTGTGGCAGTGAAGGTAGATCCCTTGCAGTCTTGTTGTAGTGCTCGCACATTTTGTCCTT